AGGGGTGCAGGGGCAGGGACCCCCAGAGCCCTGTCCCAGGGCAGTGCCCCCGGCCTGGCAGCAGGATGTGAGGACTGGCCCTGAGGGAAGTGCTGGGTGGTGCTGTCTCTCCCTGCCCAGCCAGCCAGCAGTAACGGTAATGCAGGCGGCTACGGAGGCGCCCCGGCCCTGGGGCGGATTTGGCGGGGTGCCAGGCCCTGCTCCGAGCTGCGGCACAGAGCCAGCGCCACACCCCGTGCTTTGGGACTGGGCGTGCTCAGAGCCGTGGTTCCGAGGGCAGCTGGTGGGTGAGCACATGCCTGCCCGCCCGGGCATGCGTACGGGGGCGCGGCGCGGTGCAGAAGGGGGCTGGGTCCTGCCTGTAGCTGGACCCTCGGGGGATTCTCCGGGGTGCCTGTTGGGCCGCGGTGGCTCCGGGGCCCGTTCTCAAGCACAGACCCTGCTAACGCACTTGGCGCTGCCACTTTCTTCTCCCTTGGTCGCTTGTGGATCCCTTTGAACGGAGCTGCTGGCGCTGGGGGGGCAGAAGGATGCGCCCGGTGGCCGTCGCACGCTGCAGGGACTGCTGGGGTTAAGGGCTGAGCGACAGCACATATTTTCCAGCCCGGCGTCGCTCGCAAACATAGCAGCAGAGTTTCTATTTGCAGGAAGCACTAAAACGGGTTCTCTTGCTTGGTGTCGCCTGAGGGCAGGGAGAGCTGGAAAAGCTGATGCAAGGGGTTTAAATAGGATCTGTGCATTTGCCTGGTGACACCGTGGCCCTCCACCTCCCTTCTCCCGGCAGGTTGCGGTGCCTCTGGGGAGCTCCAGCAGAGCCCCCGATAGAACAAACGGGCACAAAGGTGCACGCTGCCTGGGGCGAGGCTGGTGCGTCTTCAGCTAGCACTTGCCGTGGACGTTAATTACTGCAGGAGCAGAGGCTGACTGCTGCGCTCGCGTCCCACCGGAGCTCTGATGTGGCCATAATAGGGCACGGCCGCGACTCGCTCTCCTGCAGCCGGCTGAGCTGGCGGTTGGGTCTTGCTGCAGGTAGAGCTGGCGGCTGCTAACTGGGACTCGGCTCCTCGCAGAGGGAACAGATGTGGTAGGTGTTGCATGGGAAGTTTGTAGCACGTGGTGTGTGCCTTGGATCTGGTGTGCACTGGCTGGGTCTTGACGTGCCCAAAGAGGCAGCGTGGGCCCGGAGTTTTTGGAGCAGTGATGTTTTACATTT